GGATTTGTGAAACTATACAAAATCTTTTTCTTTTTTTAAAAAAAAATGTCTTTAAGTAATAATAGACTGTTTAAAAGCAGTAAAAATGTATTATAGGATTTCTGTCATATATAAAAGTAAAATGTATACTAACTGATGGGACTTAGGACATGCAACCCCAAAATATAGCACCTTTGTCATAGAGCAAAGAGCAGAAGCAGGCCATAGAAACTAGAAATTATTCCTCTCACCTTTTCTTCTCTGAAATGAGCCATAAAACCCAGCTGATCTTTCCTTGAAAATAGGTCATAAGGCTAGGCATGGTGGCTCACATCTGTAATCCAAGCACTTTGGGAGGTTGAGATAGGAGAATTGCTTGAGGCCAAGAGTTTGAGACTAGCCTGGGCAACATAGCAAGACCCAACCTCTAATAAAGAAAAAAAAAAAGAAAGAAAAATTAGTTGGGTGCTATGGCATGCATCTGTAGTCCCACCTACTTGGAAGGCTGAGGTGGGAGGATCTTTTGAGCCCAGTTTGAGGCTACAGTGAGCTATGGTCACAGCACCGCGCTCCAGCTTGGACAACAGAGCAAGTCCCTGTCTCAAAAAAAAAAAAAAAGGAATGAAAATAGGGTGTAAGACCCTCAACAAAAAATCCTTGCTAAGTTCCCCCCAGTTTATTACCATTGGGTCATACACTTTAGTCTTCCAATCAAGCTTCTGCATTACTGTCCATAAAAACACAGATATCCCTGTGTCCTGGAATCTTCATTTATGAATGCTCCTGTGTTATGTAAAACTTATTTTAAATAAATTTGTATGCTTTTCTCTAATTAATCTGTCTTTTATTATAGGTTCCTTAACAGTGAACTTTGCAATGCGTGGGAAATCCTTTCTCCCCTGTACAACAATAGTACAAAGGTAGGGAGAGAGGAAATGGTAGTATACTGTGGTAAGCTTTTATACTAGGCATGAAGAGGTATGTTATTACTCAAAAGCAGACTAAGTTAAAAATGTATATTATAAACCCTAAAGCAACCACTAAAAATATAAAATAGAGATATACCTAGTAAACTAATAAAGGAGACAAATAAAATCATAAAAATGATTAATCCATAAGAGGGGAAAAAAGAGATGAAAAGGAACAAAGAACACATGGGACAAATAGAAAATAAATAGCATGATGGTAGATTTAAACTGAACTATTATGGACTGAGTTGTATCCCTTTAAAATTAATATATTGGAGTCCTAATATCCAGTATCTCAGAATGTGACTGTATTTGGACATAGAGTCTTTAAAGAGGTCATTAAGTTAAAGTGAAGTCATTAGGATGGGCCCTAATCCAACATGACTGGTCACAGGAAATGTAGACATAGATACCCACAGAGGGAAGATTACGTGAAGACACAAGCCAAGAAGAGAGGCCTCAGAAGAAACCAAACTTGCTAACACCTTGATCTCAGACTTCTAGCCTCCAGAATGATGGGAAAATAAATTTCTGCTCTTTAAACCACCCAGTCTGGGGTACATTGTATGGTAACTTGAGCAAAGTAATATACTCGCCATATTCATATTGAATGTAAATATTTTAAACAACTGTGGTCCCCACCACCACTGCCACCAGCCCAGCCAGACCATAGGTGATTTGTCCCTCTTTTCCTTTTTTTGAGACAGAGTCTTGTTTTGTCACTGGGGCCAGAATGCCCTGTTGTCAGCCTAGCTCATAGCAACCTCAAACTCCTGGGCTCAAGCAATCCTCCTGCCTCAGCCTCCCAAGTGGCTGGGACTATAGAGGAGCGCCACCATGCCCAGCTATTTTTTTTTTATTTTTAATATAGACAGGGTCTCGCTCTTGCTCAGGCTGGTCTCGAACTCCTGAGCTCAGGAGATCCTCCCGCCTCCGCCTCCCAGAGTGCTAGGATTACAGGCGTGAGCCACCGCGCCCTGCCGAGACAAGCGCTTATAATTTCATGATCCAGCTTTTAGTAAACAAGTATTTATTTAATTTTTAATCAACAATAGCTATTGAACACCTACCATGTGCAAAGCACTGTGCTAGACATTGATGAGGATAGAATGAATAGGACAAGGTCTTCAGGGCAAGGGAGCAGGCTTCGTTTTTGTTCACACATTTATATGTATTGTGTGTGTATATATATATACACATATATATAAAACATATACAAGTATACAGACACATAAAACAGTATTATATATGTGCAACTGTGTATATTATATATACACAGTTACATATATGTGCATGCATGTGTGTGTGTATACTTGTAGGTGCTTGGTAAATGTTTTGTTGAAAGTGATTTAGCTGGGGAGACAAACTCTCCCAGAATTGGCTCTAATTCAGGCTGAATGAAGAAAGAGCTGCAATAAAGATACTGGAAAGTGCTGAGAGAGCGCCAAAGGAGTGGGCAAGCAAGGGGAAGTCTTTTTTGAATCCTTACTGAGGTCACATTGACATTAAGCCTTTAAATCACCCCGAATCCCAGGGGTGTACAAGAACCAGCAAGTGGTATGGTGTGCTCAAGCATGATGCAGGACGTAGTGGAAGATGGATGAAGTGACAGGATCCAAATTGTGTTTAGGAACCTCACTCTGGTGCCCATGTAGAGAATGACTTTTTTGGGTGGAGAGACTGCAAGTGAAAAGACCAGTAAGGCAGCTGCTACCTCATCAGAAGAGTGGTTGCCTGTGCAGATGAGGCCAATGGCAGAGTGAAAACAAACTCTGAGAGAGGATGGATGCAAGACTACTGCAGGAGTGCAATCCATGAGACTTAGCATTTAACTAGATAAGGGGGTATAAGGAAGAAGCAGGAACTAAAAATGGTTTTGAAGCTTCTTATCTGGGTGACTGCGTGGTGGTGGCGACATTTCCCAATCAGGGAACAGTAAAAGGGCAGAATTTGATAGAACGATGGAAGAAATTAAGCTTTATTTTGACATCTTAAATTGGAGATGCCGGTCGAGTAGACAAGTGGAGATATCTAGCAGAAAGCTGAAAATCTAAGCTGGATTTCAAGAAATTTGGGAGCTTTTAGTGCTGATGCAGGTAACTGACACCATGAAAACAGATATGATTTGTGGGAGAGAATTTTCACTTAAGTAGAAAAGAGGGATGATGGCTGTGGACACCTGTTGAATATTTCCGTATTTCTGTCCTGTGGGAATCACAAATTCAGCATGCCCAAAACGGAATTAATCACTTCCCACCAAACCTGTTTCTCTTCTTAACTTCTCTAGCTGCGAGGATGGCACTGACTGTTCTCTTAGTCACCTTGGCTCAAAACCTCAGCCATCTTTGTCTCCTCCCTTGACTCTTTATAAAATAAATTTCACCTATAGAAAATTCTGAAACTGCACAAAAACAACGGGTAGGAGATATAGTCATTTATAAAGGAACTATTTTGGATGTCATGTAGTCTATCATTTTGATCACATTCCTATGCAAGTATTGATTTAGTTTCCTTTATACATGAATCATACTCTACATTTTTAGAGTAACCTTTTTATTGATGTATAACAGTCATGCAGAAATATACACAATCATAAATCGATGACTTTTCATGTCATTAAATATTCTTTCACAACATCAGTTTAAAAAGGTTGCAAGGTATTCCATCCATAGATGTACCATAATTTAGTTAACTAAGCCTGTAGGATTTCCAGCTTTTTCCCTAGTCTCATCTCTCTCTCAGAAATGCTGCAGAGATGCATTTACCTGTATTTAACATTTTCGTGCCCTTTTCCAATTTTTCCTTAAAATAAAATTCTTAGGGGCAGAATTTCTAGGTCAAAAGGTATGTTCATTTTAAATAAACTTTTAATTTTAAAATAGTTTTAGGTTTAGAGAAAAATTACAAACATACTATAGTTTCTGTATAGTCCACACCCAATGTCTTCTTTTGTTCACATCTTATGCTAGTATAGCACACTTGTCACAATTAATCAACCAATATTGATACATCATTATTAACTAAAGTTCATACTTTATCCAGATTTCTTTAGTTTTTATCTAATGTCCTTTTTCTCTTCCAGTATCCCACCATGTTACATCTAGTTGTCATGTCTCCTTAGGCTCCTCTCTGCTGTGACAGTTTCTTAGACCTTCCTAGTCTTTGATGACCTTAATTTTGAGGAATATTGGCACATATTCTGTAGAACGCCCCTCAATTGGGGTTTGATTTTTTTCTTACAGTTGGACCGGGGTTACGTATTTGGAAGGAAAGTACCATAAAATATCATTCACATCATATATCAAGTCCACATACCACCGACACGATTTATCACTGTTGATGTTAACCTTGATCACTGGCTGAAGCAGTGTTTGCCAGGTTTCTGCACTATGAAGTTACTCATTTTTCTCCCCTTTTAATACTGTCCTCTTTGGAAGGAAGTCATTGCGCACAGCCTACACTTGGGAGTTATGCTCCAGGGTGGAGATTTTACATAAATTATTTGGGATTCTTTTGTGGGAGATTTATTTCTTCTTCATTTATTAATTTATTCAATCACTTATTTATATTAATATGGGCTCACAAATATTTCTTTTATATTCTGAATTATATTCCAATACTACTTTACTTGTCTTATTGCTCAAGACGTGTATTTTTAATGTTCTGAGTAACTCAATTTAAAACTGCCCCTCCCAAAGGATGTACCAACTCTTGTGGTTACGAGATGTCATTAAGATCCATTTCTCCTCAACTTCACACACCCTTTATAAAAGTAGGCCAGAAAGCAAGGGTGAAGCTGACGCCCCTCCCCAGGGCCCAATTTCTTGATGCCAACAAGGGAGGTGAAGCCGGCGTGCGAGGTCTTTTCCCCCAGGATCGCCTCAGAAGGGCTCCTCAGCCGGCCCGCCTCTATTCGCCCGGCTTCCTAGCCTCCTTCCCCATTGCCAGGCTTCTCCGGGGCCCCACCCACGGCGGGCGGAAGTGGGAGCGGCCGCGGGGCGGAAGCGCCGGGGCGGGGCGGGCCCTCTTGCGCAGTCAGCCCCGCCTACTCCACCGCCCCACCTCTCCGGCCCAGACCGGAAATGAGGTCGGAGAGGGAAACCCTGGCGGGGAGCCTCGACCCAAAAAGCGGCGGCCGTCGGAGGTGGCTGCGGCAGCTGGTGAGGGGGAGGAGTGGGTTGAGAGGGTTGGGATCCAGGGGGCCTGTGTTAGAGGAGACTGGGGCTCCGGGCCGCGGATGAGCGGCTAAGGGTGTCTTGGGGCCGCGGCAGCCGACGGGAGCGGCGAGGGTGGTCGGGCCTTGCTTTTCAGGGCCCGTGCCCCCATCCCGGGGGATGAGGGCCGGGCAGTCTCTGGGGCGACAGCCCCTTCCTCTCTCTTCTTTCTGCCTCTCTTTGGCTGGAGACAGTGTGAGGGCTTGGTGTCCTGAGCCATGATCATTTTAGCCGTGGGGGACGGGCTGGGGAGTGGTGGAGAGTCCTTTGAAACACGGTTTTTCTCACGTATGTGGCCATGTTGCGACTGCTGATCACCGAGGGAGCTCAGTCGCCAGGACTTGCTTTTTGGCAGTTTCTGCCCTAGAAAGGCTGACCCCCTGCCCCTGGCGAGCCCAGAGGAGAAGCTGCCTCCTGCTTCCACCACCTCCTTACTCCGTCCCCTCCTCAACCCTGAGCTTGCCTCTCGCTGCCCACCAGCTTCCTGTGCGTGACTCAGACAGCCTTACCCCTACCCGGGTGCGTGCCTGGACCCCGAGTCCTTTAGGAGTGTGCACCCGAAACTGGGGTTCTTCTATCACCTACTGTTTGAATTGCAGCCTTTGAGACAGGAAAGGATTCTGCACAGGCGTTCGATTACAAGTTGTTTGGTAACTTCATTCCACTTTAAAGTTTGTGCTGTTCTGCCTGAGTTTTTCAAGCAGTAGTTATTTATTAAGGAAGTAGATTGAGTTGTGCTCTTCCCACTTTATGTGTTTTGGTCTTAGGGACAGTTGTCTTTTAGACCTCAGTCATGGTGTTTTAAATCACTTTTTACTGCTTAAAGGGAACTTGTGTGCCTTTTGACACTTTGAGAAGTTTTGTTTAGGTGGCAGTTTTGGAAGTAGGTGTCACCATTGCTTCCACAGATGTGGCAGATAAGCCAGAAGAATTTTGCTGTCTTTGAGTTCATTGGCATAGGCACAGCATGAAAATAGGTTTTAGAAAGCCCTCTGCAAAATGAAAACTGCATGAGCGGCAATGTGGTCTGAGAGTGGCGCCACATAGAGTTTTAAACTCTAATTATGGTCTTGAAATACTTAGGGTTTAACAAGGGCAAGAGAAAAAGTGCTAATTTAATTAGGTGTTGTACAAATTATATTAGACACTTCCCTTTAAAAGAGAATTTTGAAAATTACTCCTACTACTCTCATCCCTTGGAAGATTGGCCTCTGAAGTGACCCTGAAGTGTGATGGTTTGAAAAACATGAGTAGAAAAATAGGAAATTTTGGAAAGCAGTTTGCTGGAAATCTTAGAGACTCTACCCCATCTCTGTCATTTCTGCTGCTGTTATATCCTATTTTTCTGTGATTTATGGCACTAAAGCACAGAATTAGCATGATCACATTACTTACTGAAGGATGGGAGAGGAGCTTAAAGGTTGTTAATTATTCAAAAATATATGATATACTCTATAAAGTTCTATACCTGGTAGCTTCCAGTTGGTAGTTAGTACCAGAATGGGTGCAAACTTAGTCTCTTTTTTTCATTCTGAGTGCAAACCTGGGTCACTATAAATTCCTAAATGGCTAAGCTTGTAAGCAGTCTTCCTTAAAGTGTGTCACTAAGTTGTTCTGTTCTCTGTTACAGGCGTTGTCAGCAGTGCCCCCAGACCAAAGAACAGTTTTTCATCCATTCTCAATACCTCGATGAGACTGGATCCTACCCTGTGTTTCCCCAACTCTGCTGTGATTTTGAAGTTATGGTTTTTTTGCTCCTGTCCGATGAGACATTCTCTAATCTTTTTGAATCTCATCATTAGGGTGATTTAGTGACAAGCTAATTGGGGAAAAGAGAGAAGGATCTAGTCCCCTGAGTTTGCTTATTTTTGCTAATATCCCAGTTGTCATCTACTGAGTGTTTGAGTTTTTGTGCTTAAGACCATGTTGACTCTAGGCATTTAACGAGGGCCGAACACCTATTTTTAGTGGCTTAAGGAAGCATAGATGGTAGAAACAGAGTCTAAGTGTAGTCAGATGAAAGGCGACTTTATTTTCTGTAGACAGGCAAGACTCTTTGAGTACCATGATCTATTCGATAAAATTATTCTAAAACCACAGATCCTATTCAGGCTTTCTTTTTCTTTTCTTTTTTTTTTTTTTTCAAACTTCCTTTTGGCAGATGTGGCCTCATGGATGAGCTGGTACATGACTTAGCCTCAGCCTTGGAGCAGACATCTGAGCAGAATAAGCTTGGTGAGCTGTGGGAGGAGATGGCCCTGAGCCCTCGGCAACAGAGGCGGCAGCTTCGGAAACGCCGAGGCCGGAAGCGTCGTTCTGACTTCACTCACCTGGCAGAGCATACCTGCTGCTACAGTGAGGCCTCTGAATCAAGTCTGGATGAGGCCACTAAGGACTGTCGAGAAGTGGCTCTGGTCACCAATTTTAGTGACTCGGATGACACAATGGTAGCCAAACGGCACCCAGCTCTCAATGCTATTGTTAAGAGTAAGCAACATTCTTGGCATGAATCTGACTCCTTTACTGAAAATGCACCTTGTCGGCCACTTAGGCGCCGGAGGAAGGTGAAGCGAGTGACATCAGAGGTGGCTGCCAGCCTTCAGCAGAAGCTGAAGGTATCAGATTGGAGCTATGAGAGAGGCTGCAGGTTCAAGTCTGCTAAGAAGCAGCGTCTGTCCCGCTGGAAGGAGAATACTCCCTGGACCTCATCAGGCCATGGTTTGTGTGAATCAGCAGAAAATAGGACTTTCCTAGGCAAAACGGGAAGGAAAGAAAGGATGGAGTGTGAAGCAGATGAACAAAAACAGGGCTCTGATGAAAACATGTCAGAATGGTGAGATCTCCCTTACTAAGTCAAAGATTTTCCTGGTTATTTTACCCAAAGTGCAAACCCAGTCTTGATAAGTTCTACTTTCTTTCATCAGCCACTCTAATATTGACTTTGTAGCTTTTCTTTCATCAGTCATTAGTTTATCTCTAGCTCTTTAAAATACTGTCATGAATCTGTTCCCTCTGTCAAGAAGGCTAGATGTAATAGAAACACATTTGTTTCTAAAACCAAGAGTCTGATTTTGAAAAACTGTTTGCTGCTGTTTGTGCCATATAGTTCATACAAAGATACTATTCTTTAGAACGAGGGTCTTAGCAGAGGCTGGTGTATATATATGTGGAATTTGTAAATGTTACTGGTAAGCTGTCTCCATTAAGAATCATGGCTTTAGATATTTTTTGGCTGTAATTCTGTTCTCTGCTACTTGCAGTTTGACTATATCGAGTTTATTTTTTATGGCTGACATTCAAGTTGTCCAAACACATGTTGGGCTTTGAAACTAACATACTGAGTCCCATTAGTCTTAGACCAAATGTGATTGACCAAGAAAATTTATCTTTAATGAGTGCATGTTTAAAATGTCAATGTAGTTTTGGTAACTTTTTATTTTTTACCTCTTAGATAGTCCTAGGAACATTGATACCCCCCAGCTTGATACTTTAATGTTATTAATATTAATCTATTACATATGTTTTTTCATGAGGATGCTGTTGGTGTTTTGGATGGGATAATTCTTTGTGGTGCATTGCAGGATGTTTAGCATCTCTGCACTGTTCCCACCCCCTTTTCATTGTATCAACCCAAATGCCTCCAGGGGTGCTTTCTAGGTGGGTTGAGTACTCTCTGTTGAGAATCGTTGTATTCTATTATTGCTAATATTAGTTAACATTTATTAAGTAAGCACTGTGTGCCAAGCCAAGCACTGTACTGCAAAGGCTTAACACATACTCACATTTAATGTTCACAGTTCCACTGTAGGTACCACTGTTTGTGTTTTATAGAAGAGGAAACTGAGGTTATGAGAGTTTCGATAATTTGCCTAAGGTCACCCAGTGCCAACATTGGGAATCAAAGCTGATTCCAAAGCTCATTCTTATCCATCATGTTTTGCTGCCTTTTGAGTTTGCCTTTTCCATGACCCTTTTGTGTCTCAGCTTAACTTTCACAACTGAAGAACATGTGACCTTTTTGAAGTTTGTCTTAAAAACAAAGACATAAATCTTAAGAACTCTGAAGTGAGGCTGTGTCAGTGACAGGAAAAGCTGTTTAGGTCTGTATGCCTGTACCTTTCATGGATGGTTTTTAATCCAGCTTTTAAGCTTTTTCTTACTAATTTTATATTTGCCAGTGTGCCCAACAAGGTAGGCTCCTAATTTGGCTTTCCTGATTTTCCTTTAATGGCTAATTCCTTCTAAGGCCTATTTACCCAATTTATGTGTTTATTTTGGATTATAAAGATATTTTTTCCCCATCATACTATTTTTAATCAAACAAGAAATGTTTAGTCAACTTGTGGGCTTTCACACTATTAAAGCCCTCTATTGAGGCATTCACGTTTGTTTTAATATTGAGCATAAATACCAAATAGAAATCTTCTTACTTTTGAGAATGGTGATTTTAAAAATAGCTTTTTGGAATGATAGCTTGTGTTTGTTTTTTCCCCAGAATTTCTTGTTAAACTATGACACAATTGTGTGTGTGGGAAATTGTTAACTCTGCTCTAAGATAACAGCATGAGTGTGGCCCCAAATACAGCCTGTCATCTGACAGTGAGGTGCTTCAGTCTTTCCTGGTCCTTCTTACCCCAGACACATCTATTGCATGTGTGGTCAGGTTGCGATAATATAAATTCTAGTTATCTGAGAGTCTGGATAAGTTGAAGTAGACAGGAATTCTTATGAAATGCTTACTTTTTTCAAATTGAGGAGACCTCATTCCTCCATTTGGGCTATCGCCCTGGCACGTCCTTTCACAGTTCTTTCAATAATGTGGATGCCCAAAGGCCCTGCAGTTTAAAGGAATAATGGGTGGAGTAGTAGCACACATGGAATGAGAAAAATTCTTCCTTAAAATCTTCTAATTATTTAGGAGTCCAAAATTCCCCTTGACTTGTCTCGATACATCTGTAGTTACAAACAGAAGTGCTTTGTACTTTTTCCCCCAAATCCATTTTATGCAGAAAGAGGGTGATTCTTACTTATTCTTTGACTGCATATTGTGTTCAGCCTCTCCTCAACAATAAAGTGGAACAAAAATCTTTTAATTTTCAAGCTGCCCTCGATTATTAAGCATACCTTATAAATAGGGTTAGCATTAGAGTATAAGTATGTAGTAGTTTATGATTTGGCTATTTTGCTGTGTTGGTGAGTTGATTCTGTCAATATTTTCCTACTTTTTTTTCTGCATTTGAAGAAATACTTTCAAGAGTCCTCCTGGTTATTCTTTCATAAACTTGCTTGGATGTGCCACTGTTTATTCATATACAGATCAAAGTGTAGAATTTACTTTTTATCAGTGGTGTTGAGGGTTGGCAGAGTAATGATCCACCATGCACAACTTTTAAGATGAAGTTGATCATTAAGCTTAGCTTAGCCTAGTCAATGGATAGAGTTTTTAAAAAAATATGCGTTAGATGTTTAAGATTTGAAAATGTATGTCTCAATCAGCATTATTTTTAGTTTCCTTAAGTTCACTTTTGCTAACTAAATGTGGAGTAATTTTAAGCTTCACCAGTATTTGCTTGCTTTTCTCATTCTGATCTTTCTTCAATGCTGTACCAACCAATCCCTTATGAGGTCTGAGGAACTGAAAGTGGTTACGATATAATAGGTTTTTTATGCCTGCATAAAGATCAAACTATTATTCTAATATTTTTCTGTGTATATGTGTTTGTGAATATTCTAATATAGAACAACTCTTGTAAAATTACTTTCTACTGGTCTTTATTCAGATTGTCTATAGCATTGGCATGGTCTTAGCTCATTGCAACCTCAAACTCCTGGGCTCAAGTGATCCTCCTACCTCAGTCTCCCAAGCGGCTGGGACTATAGGCACGTGCCACCACACCCAGCTAATTTATAGCAGCTCTTAATAGCTATTAGCTCTTATGTGATCATAGCTTAATTTTGCTTTGTCTTCACTAACATATCATTTGTTTGTTCCTCTTGAATATCGTTTAGCTTTTTTTCTTTTGTAAGTGAATTGGTTGATGATGGCCTGAAGTCACATTCAGGAGCCTTCCTAAGGTGATGTATTAGAGGCCGATCTCACAGGAAAGAAAATATTCTGTTCTCTTGGAAGGCAAGTGACAGAGATAGAGTGCTAAACCTCCCCCCTCCTTCTCTAGCCCAAGCTGACCTTCTGCGGCCCCTTGGTACCTCTTGTTTTCTTATTTTTATAGAAAATCAATATCCCTTCTGACACAAACAATAGCTCAGAAACAAGAATAAATGGGAGAAAGCTGAGATCTCTGTCCATCACCTCTCACTTTAACTCCCCCAAACTCTTTAATTATGAGCGTGCTTTGCTCCAGGTGTGTGTGACAGTGAAATTGCTAAATGAGCACCATTTTAACCAAAGATTGGGTGATCAATAACACTCTATAGCAGTAGCTTGTCGGATCAATAGCATTCATTATTTCATGGTTAAGGTAAGTAGCCTCCTTTGCAAGTGGAGGTCATTAATCAGGGGTTACTGAAGCTGTGGAAAGGAATATATTTGGGAGAGTGGGAATGTTCTGTTTTCTATTTTGTAAATAAGAATGCTGACCAAGATTATACTTACTGTTGTTGCAGTTGGTAGTATTGCATTTGAGAGTATTGAATAGCTAGCATACTATGCTTATATAGATTTATTTAAAGTTCTACTAGTATATCCTTTGGAACACTAAAAAGCACAGCTTGGAAGTAGATATGATATTGTTGTATTTGAAGTTCTGTGTCTTGAAAGAAATGTTAGGATTATTCTGTGTAGCTCCAAAGAAGGAACTAGGACTCAGGGATAGAAAGTACAGAGCATTTAATGTTGCCTCAGTATGAAATACAACATTTTAAAAGTTAGAACTCTGTGAAAATGAAGTGAATTGTTTCACCAGGTAGTGAGTTCTAGATCACTGGAGGCATTCAAGCTTGAGCTTCATGAGCACTTACTGAGTTACTGTGGAGTTGAGAAGGTTGGGCTGAAAGACTTCCAGGGTCCCTTGCAACACTGAGATTCTCTGATTCTTTTCAGTCACAACCTGCCTCCCACCTCTGTAACTTATTTTAAAAGACGTCTGACAAGCAGCCTCCACTGCCCACTGAAATAGTTATCCAAACATAAAACATTGCAGACTCACATCACCAGAAACTTACATTTGGCCTAGTGCCAAGATTTCTTGATAGTATAAAGCCGATGGAACTGCATTGAGAAGTGCGACTGCAGGCCCATATTAACAGTGCTAAGCCTGCCCAGAAGGTAGATGGCAAGACCCTGCATCCTTTCTCTGTAGTCAGTTCTTGGTTCAGAAGTGCATGATCTGTTTCAGTCAGAAAATTGAACAGCTGCAGTTTGAGGCAGAGTGTTGTTTCATCCTTTGCTTCTCAATCAGTATCTTTCAGTTTCTATTTGGAGGCTGTAACTCCCAGAATATACTTGGATAGGGCAGCTGAGTATTTTCTCTGTGTGTATTTGTGTTTGGAGTAGGAGGCAGTCACAGGGTATTGAATCCTGGAAAGTATAGTCTCTAAGAATAAAGATTTCTGTCAACATGGGCAGAAAAGAAAAAAGCCCTCTTTGTAGTATTTTATCCACCTCCATTTACTGCAGACTCTTCGAATGGGGCCAGAATCAGGCAGCGAGGCTTAGAAGAAGACCCTGTCTTAGACCAGCATAGCTGTGTGAGTTAAAAGCCTACCAGTTACACTGGGAATTAGGCTAGCGGCTCTGCAGCATAGCCTCTTGGCCAATTATAGATCTGGGAAGAGCATGTTACCCAGGTCCACGGGAATAGAGAATGGGACCAG